CGCAATTTTGCTTGGTCCTGATCCCCCTTTAGTGCTCTGTGTGGCATTTTTCCCAGTGAACTCAATTTCTCCGATAGAATTTCAACTGGATCAATCTGTGAACAGAAGCAGAAATTGTGAATGATGACATTGATTTTTTGTGCTGTTTTAGAATTGTAGTCTGCCTGTAGTTTTAGCAGTGGCAGCGGAGGAAGTTAACGAAGGAGTCCAGTCTGCGTTGGCTGTTCTTCCAAATATTGAATAACTTTTGATCGGCTCTGCACTTCTCTCTCTCGTGTTGGAGATGGTTGTTTACAGCGTAGGCAACTTCCTGTAAGCGTCATAGCATCGTACTGGTGCGTTACGTACACCACTGCCAAATGTTAGCAATTGGGTGAAATTTAAAACTTCAACAGGAAGCATTTCTCATTAGCCAAGAGTCTAGATGCTCTGAATGAAACAAAAGTGTAGAACAAGGGGCTGGTTTTTACCAGTCCACTCTAAGGCCTTCACAGTTATATTCGTACTAAGATTTTATTTAGTGACATCAGAATAAAGAGTGGGGAAACTTTTGAAACTATAAGTCATTATAAGTCATTGTCTTTCCACTTCACAATTATGTTCACCATTGTGTTGGTCAGATAAATTTCCACTAAGATCCACTGAAGTTTGTGGGTGTATCATCATAACCAGATGTCACAAGTTCAAGAGGTACAAAAGCTTTTGTAAAGTTCTGTGATTCTTTCCTCCAGTTGTGTTTATTATATTTAAAGAAAGCCATGTTGTAAATAGGAAAGTGAAAGAAGTTATATGAGTATGACAGCTTGGCTTATAATTGCTAGTAAAATATTGTCTACTTATATCTCAGATTCTACAATTGCTCTCAGAGAACAACAGAACCCTCCATGTCTCCTCTTAACAAGCTCAGACTTAATATAGAGTGTCCAACGAATCATGATTCAGGCAATATTTACACAAAAAGATTAGCTTTGCACAAACAGGCCCACACTGAAAACCATCTATGCCTCAAAGATTCAACTGTTTTGCCCACACAGAGCTGCCAAGGGAAGGGCCTCGGCCTGCCGCTAACTCTGGACCGATGACTCTCGGCCCGCGCTCCTACACAGATGGTTGCAGCATTCTGTCATCCCACTGTCTCCGGAACGTTCCGAACATGCAGATGTGGCGTTGCTTGACGGAAGCAGCTTTCCGTGTCAGTTTTATGTCAGACAACCACTCAGGACGCGCCGTTGCTGCCTCCCACTATGTTTGTGCTCATGTTCATGAACCCTTGCGGTATAAAGGAAATCAATCCGTTTTCACACTCCTCTCCTCATATGAGGCGCTGCTTCTCTTGTACTCATGCTTCATGCTGGGAGACAGCAGACGTCGGGTTATGGTGGGCCACTGGAATAAAACGCTGATCATAATACTCTGAGAGGAAAGACCACAACATGCCCCTGGAACCTCAAACCAAGTTTCACATCCACAATATTGCTTTTATCAAATGCAGCAGCAGTAATGTTCAGTTTTAATCCTCTTTTCTCTGTGTGAAAGCCTTATCGTCTAAGAAGTGTATCCATGACAACTGAGTACTAAATAATATGTGTTCCACGTCACTTCATGTCAGTTTGAGCCTAAGTCTGGAAATAAAAAAGGTTTGTGTGATATTATGACATTACGCGTCCCATTTAGAAGAACAGGTGTTGATGTGCAGAAACAAAGCATCTGTTTTCCAGCCTTCTTTCAACATCTGTAATCTGTTTTTTTTAAGTACAAAAGCTTGTTAGAAATGTGGCTCAGATGTCCTTTACTGATCAATCCATTTGCTTTCTCTTTTTCAGACCCAGAGGGGAGTCTAGACTTACCAGCAATACTGTACAGGCCAACCACTGCTCACAGGGCCAAGACAGAAAAACTTAGCCCTGCTATTACATTTGAACAACTGATTAATGCAGCATGTTTTTTGTACAACAGGATCCAGAAAACTATTTATTTTCAGTGTTTCGCTGCAAATAAATAAATAAATAAATAAAATCTTACCAAAAATTTTGTCTAGTTTCTAGTGCAAATATCTTAGTACACTTGAAAAACTAACTTGTAAGTGACTTTTAAGGAAAAATTAGGAGCTTCTTTTAAGTCAGTAATTTCTTAAACTTGTGGTATGTAGCTTTTATTTAAAAACAAAGTTTTTTAATGTATTTGTTAAAACTGTCAATATTTCGTGTCAGTATGTCTTGAGACAGAATATCTATGAAAAAAAAGGAAAAAATCAAACTCCTCTCTGTGCTACTATTGCCGTCTGAAGAAATGCACCGCTCCTGGTCAAAAATAACCAATCAGAGCCAGGAGGAACTTCTTAGCGCTGTCAATCATACTCCAGTATGCGAGGCCCAATGTGCTAATTGCAGAGAAACAACTTACTCTCCAGAAAAACCATTTATCCACTCATTGGTGGCTATGCTAACTAGCCTCTGCATTCATGACAAGCTCTGCTGACGAGATGAAGCTAGCACAGAGAAGGGGGAGGGCTGGCGAGCAACATGTGCACAAGCATGATTGACAGTGCCAAGACCCTCCTCTGACCGAGCTGTGTATTTCTGTGCAAGTCAGATTTTTTCACTTATAGCTAGTACTTTCTCATCAATATAAAGTAATTATTGACTGTAGATTCAACAAAAGACTATAGTTTTGTAGGGCATCGATGCTGATGACTGATTATCTGACATCACTAACAGTGCAGCTACCTGCATATTTACTGTTTTCCACTGGTTCATTCTGGCCCTCTGTTTTTATGTCTGCACCAGGAGACCTTTAAAACACACAGTGTCCACTACTGAAGGTTGTTCTGAACGGGAACACTTGGCAGGTATTAACATCTCAAAGACTCTGCACAGTAAAAAAAAAAAAAAAAAAAAAAAAAGGATAATGTGAAAAGAGGCAAGCTTTTATGATAATGGTTACTTATCACTTTTCAAATATTCCATTCTTACCATCTCTCTGGATCCTGCAGCTAAGAAACTAGATTAAGAGCTAATTAGTGGGTCTGATGAATGCAATTGAGCCCATTTGAGGGAGGAAAGTGCTTCTTTCTTCCCGAGTGCCAATCAGTTTTCATTCATATTGTAATCATGGATGATTATGGATGATGAAGCTTTTATGCTATGTTTTTTTTTGTTTGTTTTATATAGCTTGGTATTTGCACATACAGTTTCTTGGTCTACTTCTGAATGTTTCAGTAGATTCCGGAGTCTTTTCCTGCTCCTCTAACTAAATATGCCACGGCTACTTTGACTTGAATGGTTTTTGACCTTTAACAGCAAATAAATGTTTTTAAAAGGGCAGTATTATGTATTTTCCAGGCACATGATGCCATTCAGGGCTCAATGAAGTAACTATGTCACCTTCAATTGTTATAAAAATGCTGACTTAAAGTAAATTTGAATTTGATGTTGCAATTTACTGCCTTAAAATTGGACCTCTGTCTCTGTAAGAAGCTCCTGCTCTTTCTGAAACTCCGCCTTCAGCTAGTCGTCATAACATTGAAAGAATCAAACAACACTCCAGGTATGTTTTTGAGGTGGGAATAACAGTATAGCATGATGTAAAACTCAAAAAGGTTAATTTTATGAAACACTGCCCCTTTAAAATCAAATGTCTTATTACATATATTCTTTTAAGAGTTATTCATTTATTAACTAAATATCTCTGAGGACAACATAACTTACCTGATTCAGAAATCAGCCAGTGGCTGAGTCAGTGTTTCTGACAGGAATGCTCCCTACACAATTGTCTTCATTTTGTCTCTTTCACATTCACAGCTTGAGTCCCTATTCATGAGACGGTGTGCTTCTGGTTTTGACATTACAAACATGATATAAAGTCCACTGACACATCCACCTATCTGGGTTATTGAGACAGATGATGCTTTCTGCGTTTGCCGGCACAAAGATGTACAAGAATAAAATGTGTAGCTGGGGTGGGATCTCTACCTGAAAAGATTTGAAAAATGTCAAAAATGTTCAATTTGAGTACATTTGATTAATAAAGAAAATTAAATATGACAAGAAACACTGAAATCTAAACTTCTTTAATTTTTAAATTTTCCTTTTTTATCTAAGCAGATTTAAGACAGTGTCAATAACTGTTCTGAGTTGAAAAGCAGCCATAAAGGTTCGGTTCAGAAATTTAAGAAGACCGAAGTGATTTTGCAATGCCAAAATATTGTTTTGTCTCAAAGTGAAGCGTCAGATTAAGAACTACAGTACCCAGCAAGCTCTGCAGAATATAAATAGTAACTGAATGGGCGTTCCCGTGGTGACATGTGGAGGAGGTAAGAAGAGGATTGTTGCCGAGGACGCATTGAGCTGTCGGAGATAACGCCGCTCATGCGACTCTTACCTACCTGGAGTTTCACTGCGATGGACTTAACCGAGGACAGTGCTGTGGAAATTATCCCGTGCTGACCCACTTCTCGCGTTTTTCTCTCGTTGTCCTCTGACGCCTTGTCTCATTCCTGTCAGGTATGAACTCCTTCTCTCTGTGTGTAGTTTTCCAGCTCGCGCATTGTTCATATTTTTTTTTCCCACAGAGATGACAGCATCCCTGTCGAGGAAGTAGCCCACGCGCTCATTTGTTTCTGCCGCTGGCTGCAGCTCGTGCGCTGAAACGGTATAAAAAAAAAATTTGCCGAGAGAAAAATGTACTCTGGCTGTTTATGTTTACCTGTCCGCGGTTTAACGTTGTTCCGAGGCGTTTAAATTCACTCATTTTTACGTAGTTTTGTACGTAAAAGAATGCAAAGTTTATATGCGTGTGTAGGAAGTTCAGTGGGCCGTCGGGATATGGGTTAATGTGACCTTTTACCGTAAGACTTGCAGTTTCACTTAACTGTTTACATGTTTTATGTGGTTTTAGTTTATGATATTGTATAATGTGTCTTAGAGTTTTGTTTATTAACAAAAAGCTATTCGTAATTTTTAATTCAAGCCAAGTTATTTTGACCAAAGAGCACTGTTAAAATGAAACGGAACATTTTACCTGCATAACAACTGCTGAGTTTATGCTCTACCCTTTCTGAGTGGTGACCCAAATTTAGGATGAACTGGTTTCACGCAGATGACAATAACACAGTGCACACAGAAAGTAGAAAGTAGTTTTCTATTTCCCAGTTGTACTCCTTTAATGGCTAATTTCAAACCCTGGAAGCTATTTTTGTTGGGTGTCAAACCTGACTGAGCAGTTTACTTGGTTGTATCTTGAGGGTTTTAATGAAGCCTCTACCACTTTGTTCCTCCCTTTTTAAGTTATTACTATGTGAACGATGTCCAGTGCCTGTTTTAATACCTTGCAGCTTGCAAAGTAGATCTACCCTCTAGAGTTTCTAGCAGGTATAAGTAAAATATATTTACTATGTCCCATTTTTGTTGCCTTGACCACTGTTTTGAATATAGTAGATGCCACGGAGAAACAAAAGACAAACAAAAACGTTTTCAGTAAAATTATTTTAACTCATGTAGAATTAATTCAGGCTCAAAACAGTTACTGTTTACTGAAATGGTTCTAGCTTCTGATACCAAATTTGGGTTTTCTTGGAGGGCTACAATTTGATTTCATAAAATGAAATTCTGGACGCCTCAAAACGTGTCTATACCTGCATTTGCATTTTACAAAAAAGGCATCAGATGTGCTATTTGTTGTGTTTTTGAAGAAAAAAGTGTGGAACTATTCGGTTTAATGTGTTAAATGAAGATTGGGGGGAGGGAGTCATTCAGTCAAGAGTGTCTTGTCCTGGACGATTGATTTGGTACATCAATATGTAATTATCATTACTTATTATTTCAAGAGTGCTTGAAATAAATAAATGGTTTGTAAGTTATTGTACTCTTCATTGTACATTTAACAGTTCTGATTTATTCTTATTATTTTTGTAGGTGGATTAACCCTGAGAGACCATGTCGGACAAAATGTCCAGTTTCCTCCACATAGGGGACATTTGTTCCCTGTATGCGGAGGGCTCCACCAGTGGATTTATCAGCACTCTGGGGTAAGAGCTTTCATTCACACATCACTACATCCACTTTCTACTTCCCTCATTTCGCAAAGTACCTATAAGGATTCCTCCAAAGATAAAACCTTAGGCACTGTTGTGCAGAATAGCTAGCATTGTCCAAAGTAAAGTGACCACAGTGACACATGATGCGAGTAATGACACGAGTACATTTTCATCTTTTTTCTGCACTCGAATTACATTTTGGTTAGAGACGGCTTCTCTTAACCAAAAAAATTCACTCTAACCATTAAGCTAGTGTGCTTAAAATTCTGGTTATTTAAAATTCTGTTGCGATTCTTCTTTGTAATGCTTCTTTTTCTTATTTTTAAGATTTGAGATTGGCTTGTTGCTGTATTCTTCCTTTTTGTCCCTTAGATTACTCTGTGTCTGAACGGCATTTAGGTAGGCAGTTGGCATCTCCCCTCCGCCCTAATTGTAGGCGCAGAGTTAAAAGTGCGTCTCATTATGTGAAAATAGAACAAATTGTGTCATGTAATTACCGGTCAGAAGTAGCAACAAGGAGGAAGAGGAGGAGAGTGTGATTGCCAATATCTCTAGTGTCTTTCTTTCTTCTTATCCAAGTTTTTCTTTTTGTCTACATCTATATTGTCCTCCTTCACCTTATTAAGGAAAGACAGGCAGTCTGTTTTTTTTTTTTCTCCTCCTACTGTGTAGCAATTTTATATGTCACTCAGAAGTGGCCGCGCCATGGCCCTATCGTTCACAAGACTTCAGAAGCCACGCTCTTTCACAGTTTGGCGCTTTACATCAACCGCCAAAGCAACAAACTTGTTCACAGCTTTGATGACTGCTAACATGACATCTTTCATTTGTTAAATTTACATCCTCTGCTCTCATGCTTGTGATCACCCACCACTGCCGCACCGTGTGTCTAAAGAGGAAAGCATGGAGGGCGTAGCTAAAAATAGCAGCATTGTTTTTGTATTCAATTTTGCTGGTGCTGTCAGCACTCTGAAAGTGACCCCTGACAGACACCTGGATCCACCTGGTGCACTCCTGGCAGCCCAAGCTTTGATGCAGAAAGCAGAAGCAGCATTCCCCTTGACACAGGATAACAGGGAGTCTTGAAACACCTGTTCCCTTTTGGACCTTGGCCCATTATTGCATCATTTTCATCACACACAGTGGATCCATTTGTTGATGGTACCTGAATTCTTTTGGCATTACAGAAATGGTCCTCTGTATTTTTGTCAATGGGTTGCAAAAAGATGCAGCTTTTTGGAGTGTCCTTAAAAGTTCTTTTAATTGTATTTATCTACTAACTTACATAAAACAATTATTACGACAACATTTATGTTAACAGTAGGCATTTTGCCATGTACAGTGCAAACCAAATATTTACATATAACGTATAAAAGTTTGGACTCTTGGCTACTGAGAAAAAATTGCTTCATGGAGGTGTGGATGCCGTTTAAGTTTTAAATTTTTCCCAGTAGTTAATGTTTGGCCATGACGTATGTAATGCAGTGAGAAGGAAGTGCCGCGCCAAGCCAAATGGCTGCTAAAGTGAATTTAATATTTGGATTGCTAAACTACAAAATGGACTCTATCCTACTGGTAGAGTCCAGAAAACCCAGGGGATCATAAGGACGGAGCATTACCTTGACATATTAAAGCAAAATTTCAAGTCACCACATGGCCAACACAAACTACAATCATCAGTAAAATCCATTCTTACTCCTACTATGTTTTTATCCTACATTAACAGTCATTTGATAGTTTGCTGAAAATACTATGTTTACACTCATTTTGACTATGACTCATGAGTACTTAGATTTGTAGCATATTTCAATGACGTTCCAGTTAATTGTGGGTGTACAAAACCTTCTGGAGCTCTGTGCTGCTTCACTTTCTTACTTGTAAGTGGACTGGTCCGAGGTGGATCACATGACAAAGACCAAACCTTATTGTAAATTTTGTAAAGTGCAAAAAAACACTTGTTTTTTTAGGGAAAATCCAGATATCTGAAAATCAAAAATAATCAAAACATTCTATAAAACTATTGTTTGTTAAAAGTCAGCTATACAAAATTCAGCCGCTCCCGGCTGGTGTGGCTGACAAAGTCTCAGACAATACATTAACAGAAATTAGCAGGCCAGTACCTGGAATCGGATCAGAACATCCCTACTGAGAAAAACAGCACAACAAGGGGAGGCAGCTCCTAAGAAAGTAACTTTGATGGGTGGAAAAAAAGGCTTAGTTTTAAGGGCAGGCATCTGTTGCATCCTTTATGATTTATTGTGATAAATTTCTTGTCAGTTGCCTCTCTTTATTCAACAGTAGCTGTGTTTCCATCACAAATGTAATTTGTTGATATTCTGCTAATGTCGAAAAATTACAATTTCACAATTGCAGTGTTTCCATGAAATAAGCATAATTAAAATGACACTTGAAAAAGTTTGTTCACATAAGGCATTAAAAAACATGCTGCGCCGTCATCCTTCAACTACTTCCTGTCGTCGTTGTCTTTGTGGTTTGCGCCAGTGGCAACATCTGGTTGTTGGTCATGTGACTTGTGTGATGTGAAAAAAGTGCTTCCATTGCAGTTTTACTAAATAAAACAACTTCTATACAGCCAAAAATCCTTCTGGTCCTAGCGCCAAAACATTTTTATCAAGAAACAAAAGTTTTTTCAAAACTGGCATGTTTCCATTAAGCTAATTTATTTTCAAAATGTCTAATTGTGCAATTATAAGGTCACTGGAAAGAAAGTGATATATTTAACCACCCCTGATTTAAATGATGGTGACTAAAATGTTTAGGCATTTTATTGGAACATCATAACAAAAGAACGGTAAAAAAAAAAGAGTGTAGGATCAATGACTAATATTGTCAATGAAAGAAAATAATAACATTTCAGTGCACACAACAATTGCTCCAGTTTCTGTATGTTCATATGGATTTACCTGTAAGAACCTCTAAGCCAGGAAGAGGTGCCACCATTCAGGATGCCTGAAGGATAAACTCGTTTCCATTGGAAAAACTTTGATGTCTGGAACCAACTGAACCTTGGAGACGACTCAGAGTGATGTAGCAGCGACAGGAGATTGTGCAGCTAAGCCCCAAAATTATTCATTTATTCAGATTTATATTTGAAATAATTTTCATTCTACAGAAACGCTAGTTTCTGATAGAAAGCGAGACACCTCCTAGGAAAAAAAGTAGTGCCAGCTTTGCTTATAATATATGTTTTATTAGAAAATTAAATTTCAAAAATTCTTCATAGAAATTGATTATTCTTTTTGTTTGGAATGTCAGGAATCTAAGCCTTCTTATAATTACTGATGATTTTTTTTTTTTGACGATTTCACTGGTATTTTGTTATGAAATACCAGTGAAATCATTACCATTCCAAAATGCCTCTAGAAGAAACATGCCTTAGATATGAATAATTTTAGGCCTCAACTAAAGAAATAATCTGATCACATAACCACATTAGATTTATATACATGTATAGTTGATAGATCTGAAACACTTTCCTGCATCCTGCTTGCTGACAAGTTATTTTTTATTTTTAAAGTGATTAAATCTGACTTTCTACGCCCTGCATGGTGGCAATTAAATACTGTATAAATACATAAAAGATTGACAGAAATTAGTTTTTGAGTTTGTCCTTTGTAAATATTTAAATATTTCCATTTGTAATGATGGGTCAGCAGTAAAGGATTTGGAAAGTCAAATTTAATTGGATCATAACATTAAATGTTTGAGCAGTTGTCTTGTATCTTTTCACTCTTCAGTCTTTACTTAGTTTCTTCTGGAAAAGGAATTACGCCGAAAACAACCTTTTGATGAAGCTGTCAAAATTAAAACCTGAACCTGACTAAAAATAATCATTCATTACAATTCTTAGATTAAGTAGAATCCATTTCACTTAAGTCAAAAAGCAACCAGCTGTAAATGTGAGCTCTCTTCATGAATTAATTGACATGGATTTGAACTGGGACATGTATTTATATTGATGTTATATTTATTCTACAGTGAGCCGGCATTTAGCTGAACCTGTCGAACGTTATTCTGTGTCATAAAAACAGTTTAGTCATTCTGAATGTGACCTGCATGTTCCCATACATTAAAAACTGAATATGTTGGCGCTCATTTTATGAATCTGTCACATTCACTGTGGATGTCTGGCACTTAAAACACAAATTTCTAGTGGTAAATTTATTTTTACAGCAATCTATCCGGTGCTGTTGACTGACGTCGCCTCTGAACTTCAAGAATACTAATAAAAGTGCCATAAATATAAATCCTAAAAACTAGAGATTATTTAAAAGTGTATAAGGAAAAACTGTTTCCACTGACGTAGCGATTAAATTATGAGCTGTTAGTGAGTCTGTTTTTAATTTCTGGGGAGCTTTGCAACAATTATACCATTATCAATATAATTGCGTTAAGTTGGGTGTGTCTTCATTGGATTTGATAGCATCATTACCCGATAGTCATGCGATATCTCTGTGGTTCTCGGATGCACAATTCTGTGTGGTTTCCAATAAGGAAGAGAGAAACTACTAGAATCCATCTCAACATTTGGCTTGGTCACTTAATGGGTTTTGAGTTTCCTTCTTTCTTTTTTTTGGAGCTAGGAAGAAAACAAGAAAAAAAGGATGTTATACATATTGTTACTTCACAGAATAGTTTACCCATCTAAGCCTGATAAATTTTCTGTTCACTTTTGTTGGTAGATTTTGATTATTTCTTTCCCAGTTAATGCATCGTGAATAAAAGCTAGTCCTCATAAAGCACAGCAGTAGAAGCTCAAAATCTTTCCTAACAAATAACATTTATAAGAAATGCAGCCTTTTGTCAAAAATAATGTGTATGCCATCTCATTTGTAAATGAAACAATGCTAACTTAGAATAGACCAGAGACTTCCTTGTCAAAGAGAGAATGAAATTAAGCACCATCAGCCAGTGCAACATGCATGTAAAAATAAAAATTAAAATCTGCTGAAAAAAAAGCATACAGAAATACACATAGTACTTTAATGTTGTGTATTCTCTATGTCTTTGCCAGGTTTAAAGAAAACCAGCATTTTATATAATCTTGCCAGAGTGGCATGGTGATTCGGCTTAAAAGTAAAATCTGATTTATATTTTCTTATTTGAGTTCTGATTTTAATAGATTTTTTTCTCCTCACATTTTTCCTTAAAAAAACAACAACAAATGTTTAAAAACTGTCTTTTATCTCAATCAGCTCTTTTGTGAGTTGACCTCAGTTCAAAGTCAAAATAAATAGAAGCTGTAAAACACGTTTGTCAAAAAAAAGGGTAGTTCTTGGAAAACCAGAATATTTGACTTAATCAACAACATTTTTAAATGTGTGGCCCTGCTATACTTGCTAGTAGATCTCAGTACCACTGAAACTAAACAAACTAACACCCAGCAACAAGCAGTCACTTATTTTTATCTCTTTAACAACCCTGACCAGAAGAAATGTGTAGAAACAGACTTTGAGGATCCTCTGGGGTCGTAGCGATGTATTCTTTTGTCCTTCTGAGCTGGACCTCAGACTGGTGCTTTGGGAATTTAGCCAGGAAACTATTTCAGACTCTTGTCATGTTATTTGACCCATTTCTTAGCAACTTTTGCATAACTTTAATGTGGTGCTGATATTACGTAAGTAATAATTCAATTCTTGCAGTGTTGCAGTCTGTCGCTAATATTTGGTAATTGAAAAACATAAAAAGTGGTTAAAAGGTATTTTAAGCTTAATGCCCTCACTCATTTTGAACTTGGAAAATATATTCACATTAATATCTGTGTTTAGGCTCGTGGATGACCGCTGTGTCGTACAACCGGATGCAGGGGACCTCAACAACCCACCCAAGAAATTCAGAGGTAAGAACTCGCTTTCATTCATGTCTGAGTTTTTCATTAAGATTTACTGCCAGTTGTGTCTGCTCTGCGATGATGTTTTGTTTTGTTTTGTTTTTTTAAAGGCATTCTGACAGTTTTTATTTTCCTGTTTGTTTTTTTTAATTTTTGGACTCTTATGCTGTTTTAAAAATGTACAAAGCAATCATTTAGAAACTCCACAAAAAGTATCCCTTTTACATAGGGACCGCTTAGATTTGTCAGAACAGCTTGAGTTCTCCGATAACCTTAAACGTGTTTAGAGCTGCAAAGCTGCATTGATTCGATTCATGCTGGTTCAATAGTTATAGACCTTAAACCTCACATTCATGCTGTGAAGGTCCAGCCTAACCTTTAGACCCTTGTTTTGTTAGAAAGCAGTCAGGGCCACTCTAAGTATTTTTTTATTATTATTTTGAAGCCATAGAGACTTTCTAAAGGCTGTAATGTGATATTACCTGGTTTGAGATCTCCTGCCTTCAAATATCTTGCTTGGATTAGAAGGGAAAGATTTGCTTTTCACCTGCTAAGTTTATTAGAGGACCTCCTAAAAGGGAGAGCCCAGCCAACCTGTCGAGAAAACCCATTTCGGCCGCTTGTATCCGTGATCTCGTCCTTTCGGTCATGACCCAAAGCTCATGGCCATAGATGAGGGTGGGAACATCAATCGACCGGTAAATCGAGAGCTTCGCTTTTTGACTCAGCTCTTCCTTCACCACGGCCGACCGGTACAGCGCCCGCTTCACGGCAGACGCTGCCCCAATCTGCCTGTCGATCTCCCACTCCCTTCTTCCCTCATTTATGAACAAGATCCCCAGATACTTAAACTCTTCCACTTGGGGCAGGACGACCCCCCTTACCTGGAGAAGGCACTCTACCCTTTTCGGGCTCAGTTTTCATTGTTTTTGTTTATTTATTGTAAACCAAGTATTACTCTCTTTTGAGAGGGTTATGAGGGGGAAATGAAGCGTTGATCTATGCCAAACTTAATAAAGTTTTTTTATTTTTTTTATGGCAAGAAGCACTATAGTTTCTCCTTGGCATATTAAAGATGAAGCAAATGCTCATCTACTTCATCCTTCTGCAAATTTCTGAGATTAAAAACTTATTTACAACACAGAATCAAGTTGAATATATCAATAAGAAACAGAAACATTTACTCTAACATTTTTCATTAAATGTCAATATATTTCACTGACTTACATGATTAATTATACCAAACTGATTAACATATTTTAAAATATTTAAAGAAGTTGTGCAAATTACACAGACAAACATAAGTATGAATGATTTCTGAAAGGTCCACACTGATAAAGGAAATGTCGAAATGTTGGTTTTAAATTTATTCCTATTCTGTCAAAATATTTGCTATCAATAATCTAGACTTTATTGTTTTAGGGGCATCGTAATCTGGTGATTTGCCGTGTTGTTTCCTATCAATCGATACCGTTAGGTTTCTTTCTGCTTATTCACCAGAAATGTTTCAAAACTATCTGTGAAAGTTGAATAACTCTAAATGTAAAATTCTTTGGCAACTGATTTGACTAATTATTTTTCATTCACTCCATAATTATATATTTTTTGTATTTTAAAATACATATGCTTAGGATAGAAAAAGTGGACTTTGGGGCAAAATCTCGACTCGTGCATCTACTGACTTTAACGAAGTCTCATCTTGCTTTCATGTGGTTTGATGAAGTGCAAGGATAGCATTAGCATGTTTACTGTGTTTTGTTTTTAGCTCCTTGGTATGATGAATATGGTTTGATTGTGTAAAACTTTCTGATTTAGTTTGAATGTCATAAACATAATAACTAACGTTCAGCTGTGCTTTGCTCTTTCTTCAACACTTGGGGATTTCTGTGGATATCTGAGCGCAGCTGACAGCAGATCACATGACACAGACAGACTGGCATTAACTGCAGTCAGTAATGCCTTTTTTCTGGAAACATTATTGTAATCTGTGCAAAGTGCTTTAATTGTATTGGGAAAACCCAGATTTCACAAACAAAATCCTGTAAAGTTGTGATTGATATGAATTGGCCATATACCAACAGGAAGTGTTGTAAGCTGAGCTTCGTCTGGGACTTTTTTCATTTAGCAGCGGTTTGATGAGGAACCAATGCATCTGATCATATAAAGACATTATTTATGTTTTATGTTAATGAGTTTGGAAAGAAGAGACATTGAACTTTGGACAGAGGAATATTTGCTAAAGCTTTATTGATGAAATGATTTGTTGTTTCATGAACTCTTTGACAGCTAAATTTAATAAAAAGAAAGTTTGGGTACATTAATGAAGTTTACTTTAGGTGTACTGTTGATCTCATAGAAGCTGTGGTCTCAAGACTGGAACTCTAAATGTGGCTTTCCTTATTTTCTTCTGATGCTTTAGATGTTTCGCATTTAAAATTTACGGAAGTTAGTTGTTCATTGTGGTCTGGTTGTGGTTTCTAACACGGTTATTTTCTACTGCTCAGTGGCTGACGAGTACAGAGTGGCTCCTCATTGGAAGAAAGGCTTTTAGCTCGCATGGATTTTTCCAGGAACTGAGACGGCTTCATCCTGCGTATCGGATAGAAACACAAATCCTTCCCAGATTTCAGCTCTAATTTTGACCAATTCTGCAACAAAACGTTTTCAACAGTCATTTTTTTTAGATTCTCTAACTAAAGTTTAACAGAAAGTGTGAGCATGGAGTCATCGCCCCAGCAGGCTAATCGTCTCTGCCTGCTTAATTTAGCCTGGTGTGCTACGTGGTAATCAGAAGATAACCTATTTTTATGGGGCAGCAAATCTAAACACAGATGCACAGTCGAGTAGTGTGAAGTCAATAATGTTGAAACAGAGAACAACAACAACAACAAAAACTTGTTTATTTTTAAGTAGGTTACTACCTTCTTGTCGATGGTCTTGTGATTTGAATGTCCTTGTCAAATTTAGAAGGCAAGTTTCAAGACAATTTAAGGTGATTTACAGCAGATCAAAGGAAAGGCAAAAAACCCCAAAACAAAACACTGTTTTGATTAAAGTTGTGTCCATGCTAAATGCATAACCCTCACAACGTGACACTAAATTAAACAGTGTAATTTAATAAACAATTGTAATATCTTTCAAATTTGGATGTGAAACAGAGCTTCATTCACGCTTGATACGTTTGGAAAAATACTTTAACAGACAAGACAAAAGTGGAGCTTTTTAAAAGGCGAGGAATCCTAAAAGACTAATTTCCAGAGATGCTTATTGGGTTTAGGAGGTAACTTGTTTTTCATAGCAGTACGAAATCATATTTATTATATAAATGAAAAGTTTTTTCAGTAACTGTTCACTAATGACTTACTGTTTAAAGTAATGCCACACAAGAGTGTTTTCAGATCTTTATTTCATTTAGATATGATTTTCTGCTTACAGCTCATAAAACACATTTCAGATTACAACATTACATCAGACCAACAAGCAAAACGATTTCTATTTTGAAGTGGTGCCAGTCTCATCACAACAAATATTCTAACTCATTGGATAGCGTCTGCCGTTTAAGTTCATGTCCACTGATCTCTATTGTTCATTAGACATTTTAAGGAATTTTTTGTTTCACTTGCATTTCATTGTGCTTTTGTAAGCACAAATTATTTAGCATCTTGTACTGTCAGTTTAAATGTTGCATTAAGAAATGTTATGTCTTATCAACACTTCAGGAACTTGACATAATTATTCTGATTCCATCATTTTGTGGAGATTCATCTGTGAGTGATTAGTTAGGACTGGTCACTCAGTCAGTACCTTTCTGTATCGACAGGTTGCTGTTTCACAAGGCCACTTCTTCCCAGTTAAAGACGCAGAGAGGTGACCTGCTCGCTTCTAACTGAGCTAGTCAAATAATATTCAAAAGTGTGGTTTATCGCTGCACTGCTGTAACTGCAGAGGCACACTGACTGAATTTCTCACCGCGTTGACCTACTGCACGCTTTAGTTACTGCATCATAGTACACATAATTATAATAATAATTCATGTTTTGCAAATGTTGATCCTTGTCGCCAAATTGGTTTTCGGAAAAGCAGACCATTTACCTCAGCATTGTGAAGAAATTGTTAATCTGTCGACAAAAAAGCCCCTTGTGTCAGCCACCAGAGTTAATCAGAAGTGTTGTAACAGGCCTGGAGCCTAATCTCTTTGTGGAGTATTAACAGTACTTGTAAGCTATTTAAGAAGTCAGTTCTGCAGGGAGCCGAGTGCTTAATCTAGCTTGTCTCTGATTTGAGGAGCTTATGGATGAAATTATCAGTTCGTATTTTGTAGATGCAGGTTGTATTTATTTTCAAAAGTGCACAATAAACTGAGTATGAAATCAAGCTATCCACATTACGAGCACAGTTACTGTGCAACTATATTACGGTTTCATAGTGTCATTGCAGAGATCGAGAAAAGGAAAGAAATGTGAACTCTGAGAACATGCAGACTGGGATGTTAATTGAAGACTGAATCGCAAGCAGAGAGCATAACTGCTTGTGACACATTTCAGAATGTTTTTGAATTTATTTTATAAAGGACAGGTCATATTAATTACCTTGAACACATCAAAACAACCATGTAAATATGCCAGGTTTAGCCACAAGAGCTCATTTTCATTGGTAGTCCTCTGGCAGGTTGATGGTAAAAGATAAAGAATATTGAAAATGTTGTAATTCTGCTTCTTCACTCTGTGTTTGAAAGATCCCTATTAGATACAAAAGGCAAAGCACAAGTTTCCTAATACCTAATGAGAAAATTACAACATGATTAAGTTTCAAAATTCATTGAACAGTTCATGTTCAAAATCCCCTTTTTGTTATTGCTGCACTGCATGTTGCAATAACAAAAAGGAAACATGAATGTAAGCAAAAGGTGTAAAAAACGTTCACTTCAAATCCGCGGTTACACTGAGGGCTGACAGTCATTATTATTGACAGTTGATTTCCATCGCTGCCATATCTTTCCTCATTAAAAGTTATGAATGACAAGTTTGGTTTGTATCTTTGTCGATCACACAGCATCCTATGACCATTTTTAAGGTGAAATCAACTAAATAAAAGTGATATTAGGCTACAAGTGTCTGCTTTTTGACAGGCTTTAAAGGAGCACGTTGTTTTTACGTTCATCATGGCGGAGCGAGCAGAGGTCTGAAGAGGTGACGTCACGTGCGAAGGGTCAATAGTGTCTTTGGGGTCGATCTACCACTGGACTGCCATTGCTTTTTCTATTTTATTTCTATTTTTATTAAGCACATTTATTTTTGAAATGTCAAATTCTGCAGTCATGGAAACGCAGCTTTTGAGGACAATGAGGTTGAAAGTCCTACAGGTGTTCATCTTTAGTAGGTCTGTTGTGAAGATTTTTGCAGATAATGTCTACATTTTGCAACTAACTTTTTAGGAAATACCTTTCTGCCGTAGTAGTTCGGTACCACTGTATTTTTCTGCTTTTAATAGCCATTATTGCCCATTTGCATCGGACAAATGTTCTCCCAGTGCCCCGTTTTCTTTTTTTGGGTCTTTGCCCTCCTCTTTCCTGCCCTGCTTCCTCCACTCTAGGCTGTATGATGGGTAATCCCCTGACACTCTTTGCTTTGACCGCATTTCTGAGTACGGTAGCCCAAATGCGTATTTTTATCTCTGTTATTACTCAGTGGAGTTCTAGTTGACACTTGGAATGCAGTAGTTCATAGTAAATGTTTGAACGGATGAGTTAGTCTATCATCTTACAACTCAGGAAGTTTTTTCTAGTTGTATCTTGTATATTTATCAGTCTGTACCAGCACTTTCTATATTCTCTGCTCCTTAAAATAGATGCTCATGCTGTCCATGAGACTGAATCCCCATTTCAGTCAGAGTTTTTGTTTTATGTTGTGCACATCAGGGCTGGGCAATAAATTGATTTTTATCCATCCACCCATCCATTTTCTTTACACCCTTGTCCCTTAGTGGGCGAGAGGCAGGGTCATCCTGGACAGGTTGCCAGTCTGTCGCAGGGCAACACTGGGAGAATTTACCTAGGGAGAATTTAGAGAGACCAATTTATCTGACAGTCATGTTTTTGGACTGTGGGAGGAAGTCGGAGTACCCGGAGAAAACCCACGCATGCACAGAGAGAACATGCAAACTCCATGCAGAAAGAGCCCAGGCCAGGAATCGAACCCAGAACCTTCTTGCTGCAAGGCAACAGCCCTTGATTTTTATCAATTAACTCAATTTTCTGTTTTTGAACATTTAATTCTATGAAAAATCTGTAATTTTTTTTCTCCATTTGGGTTTCCATAGCTCGGAATGTCAACCTACCAAATAGCTACCATCTTGTTTGACAAACATGTTATAGAAGCTTCTTTTTTATCCCTCTCCAACTTTCAATTCAAGTTAACTCTGAAAGATTGATTTTTTTTTTAAAGACTTTTTTCTGTCATTTGTCTTTTTTTTTTGGAAAAAAATTGTAAATCATTTGTCAAGTCTGCATAGGAATTGTTGACATAAAAGAGCTTGTTGTTTTTTGTGGCTCAGTACTCTGAGCCTGTCTTTAACATGTAATATGCCAGTTTCCTGCTAAATTTTATCTTCTCTCATGAACAGGAAACATTACCTCCACCACTTGAATCAGCAGCTCCCTCCAAACTTAGAGTCAGTTCTGTTTCATGGCTGATGTTGGTGCATCTTTATTTCCATCCCACCAGTCACTGTGCAGCATCAAAATCTGTCCTTACAGTTTAACAAAGATGTCTGGGCCATAACAGGGGCTACTGATTCTGATTTTTGCTGATACTGAACTAAAATAAAACTATAACTGACTCTGTCAAGTGTTGTTACGCATAGTGTATTGTGACATACGCTTTTAATGTTCCAATCTTTCTTCTTTTTGGTGAAAAACATTGAACAATACCTGTGAAACAATCCAGACTTAATCGATCATTTCATGAGGTTGGGTGGGTCCGTCAGGCTGCCCTCTCTCATGCCAGAGTGAAAAGTAACAGTGGCTGATTTTCAGATGTTTGTAGATAAAATCAGTTTCACACGTTAGCATCGACCTACCACCGATTTCCTAAAATGAAGTAAATCGACTGATCCGTTCATCCCCCTAATTTAAAAAGTAACAAATAGCTGCTTCCCATTTTTCTGTTTGCAATATGGACAAAGGATTTTTCTTTTATTTTCATCTTAATCATATCAACTAAATAATTTTTTTCCCTACTGAACTATAAGTTATTTTATTATTTAAATAGCATTCAGCTTCTATGCAGTACAAGTCTGGAACAAACTGCAAAACAGCCGAAACATTGACTTCCTTTAGGCCAAGGCTAAAAACCCCCCTGCTTAGAGTTGCCTTGATCAACATATTTGATGTTGATGGCATTTGATAAAATGTAATGTTTATTTCATGTTTTATAGTTGGCGACTGTGATATTTTTATGAGCACTTTGAACTACCTTGATGCTGAAAATAAAATTGATTTGATATTTTCAGAAGATTATATTCCATTAATATAAGTCCAGCTTTTTTTTTTTTTTTTGCATGGCCAATATTTATTCTCCAAACCTGCTGCTGGTGAAACAAAATTCCTGCCATTTCTTCATGCTATTAGAACCCGTCTGTGAATCTCCACATATCCTTAAAGTTTGTTGTGAGTGAGACCAAGTCGAGGCCATTCCGCTTCTGAAAACGATTATTTTTAGTCTCGGTGTACCACTTTCCCCAAACTTGGCTGCGTTTGCCGAGGTCAGGACGCCGGGCATGAGTGCAGACTGTTGCGATAAATTATGAAACATGTGTCTTTCTGTTTGTGCTTTTAGACTGCCTTTTCAAGCTGTGTCCAATGAACAGATACTCGGCACAGAAACAGTTCTGGAAAGCGGCGAAGCCCGGCGGTAACAGCACGACGGACACGGTCCTGCTCAATAAACTTCACGTAAGATCTATTTCCAGCCTCGCAAACCATAATTGCAGTGTAACTACACAGGCGATTTCCGACAATGCGTGTTTGTGATTCCATCCATGTGCTCTGTCGTGACCTTCCAGCACGCCGCAGACCTCGAGAAGAAGCAGAATGAGTCTGAAAACCGCAAGCTGCTGGGAACAGTCATCCAGTATGGAAATGTGATTCAGGTGCGCTGCGGCCGACCAGATAAGGGGCTTTGCTTAAATGGACTGCGGCGCTGTGCTGCATGCTCAGAGCATGCTGAGTGCTTGATAAAACTGACCATAATTCTGCTTTTTAATCTGAAGAGCTTTAAATAATTGCCGCAGAACAAAGAAGTCCTATAAGGTCACCGTTGAAAGGTCTTTTCCTTCGCTCATTGCTCATGAAGGTTTTGCATTCATGTGCGTTTATCTGAGAAACTTGCTGTGTAATGTGCATAAGGGAGATAGTGTGGGATGTCCTAGCTGCACATACCTTATATAATTCAATTACTGCTTGGGAAACATACACTTAGAAGCTTGTTAGGAGAAAACCAGCTGTGACTAAAGTTCCCAAAGTAACCCCTTGGATCAATTGGCAGTCTTGCATGACCTAAAAAAAACAAAAAACAATATCAAGTATCTCTGCTGTAAAGTTCATTCAAGTTGTCCCCATGGCCTCCGTCGCACCAGTTTTTCCACATTTTTCTCAAGCTGTGTAACATTTTTCACGTCTCGGTCCAGAGAGAGAGACTGATTGGTTACGTCTCCTATAACTGTATGCCTTGTTGTGCCAACAGTTGCTGCACCTGAAAAGCAATAAATACCTGACGGTGAACAAGCGGCTACCTGCACTGCTGGAGAAGAATGCCATGAGAGTGACTCTGGACTCGGCCGGGAACGAGGGATCCTGGTTCTACATCCAGCCGTTCTACAAGCTGAGATCCCTGGGAGACAGTGTGGGTAGCGCCGGGTGTGGGATTCCAGTTAATTATGCCCAATAGAAGGAACCTAGCGTGTATTTTTAGACTTTACACGGGATTCGAAAACAGAAGTCACATGCACTCGCCACATCTGAGCCTCCAGTTCAGGCTCGACGCCGTTTGTTTTGAAATGTTCAACTTGTCAAGCACAACGAACTGCTGATAAACAACAATCTGTTCGGGAAAGAGAGTCTATCCGGTTGGATTAGAAGCACTGTGTATTCAAAATCCTTTCCAGTGTGTTTTACAAGCACAGATGAAAAGCCGGACGATGATGGGCTCTAGAGGCATCAAGATGAAGAACATGGTTTTACTAAATATACTGCAAAATCTGACCAAGTATTTTTGTCCAGTTTGTTGTGCAAATATCTTGGTTCACTTGAAAGAAGAAAAAGCTAACTTGCAATTAATGTTTTAGAAAGATATAGGAGCTTGTAACATGAGAAAATTGTCATTTTAGTGAAATAATCTGCCAGTGGAACTAGAACTTTTTAATCTATATTAAAGAATTATTGACTTAAAACAAGTTTCTATAATTACTAAAAAGCTACTTATAAGTTAGCTTTGTCTTATTTCAAATGTACTAAAATATTTTCCCTAGAAACTGGACCAAAAATACACACACACTTGGTAAGAGTTTGTGTTTTAGCAGCGTACAGTAAAACAAAATCTATTAATTGCATCTCTCTTAATACCTATGCTGCTATAATCCAATGTACTGACCTGCGGTTTGATCCAGAGAGAACTGCAGGAAATGAGACGCAGTGTGAACATTCATTTCGAGTGCAGCCAATTTCCTCTGTGCTTGAAAGAAATAAAAAAAGGAAACCACAGGCTGTAGATACAGCTAAAGTATTCGGATCCATTGAAGTTATGCTCATGTTGACTTACAAACACAAAATTCAATGTATTTCACTGGGATTTGATGTGATGGACCAACAGAAAACAGACCAAAATTATGAAGTGTAAGGGAAAGGATACATAAGATCTTTGTTGGCAGATACCACAAGACTTTTTCTTTGTAGCAGGTCAAAACACAGAGAGAGGAGACTGCAAACATGTGGAACAAAGGTTCCCATTTGAGGTGCAAATGGGAAAATAACATATATGCAAAATATAGCCCAATACTGGAAAAGCCATTGTAGTTGAAAAATATCTGAATATAAGACAGCAGTTCCCCCAAAACTCCTCTTATAAAGTCCTTACCTAGTCAAAGTAGAAACTGAAGTTTAAGCAAGGATGTTTAGCAAAACTTGAAATTTGATAATCGCAGGCATCCAGGTGGAAACTGAGCTGTTTTTGATTATAAAGGGATAAAAATGAATAATATGTACAAAATTGGTAGAGTAATTTTCCAAGATAGTTGCATCTTTAACTGCAGTGATTATTGGTTAGACATGCAAAGGGTTGACTTAGGGTTGGGTTCATGGTTTAAATTATAAAAACTATACATCACTTTCATTTCTTTCCCCAGTTATATGCCACTTTGTGTTGGTCTGCTACATAAAATCTAAAGAAAGTATATAAAGCTACATTTGCATAATGCTTTTTGAAGGGAAGTCAGAGTGGCTCAGGTAAATGAGGCATACGTGAACCTAACCTCTCCTGCTCGAGCTGCAGTTTCTAATCGTGGCTAATGGAAGGTGATAGAGTTAAGCTGGCTGAATGACTAATTAAGTTCCACTTAATTAATCCCTTTGGGAAGATTTGTCCTCCACATTTGATTCATCCTTTTAAAAGGACCAAGAGGCACCAGCCTCTCTTCCAGTCTGACCAGTGTCTTGGTCAGCGGCATCGACCGTAAGACCTCAGTCTGTTTCTTTGAGAACATGCAGATTACTCTCTGTGGCACAAAATGTTTGACTTTTGAAATCAAATATTTAAAGACAGTTACTTTTTAAGATGAATTCTTGCACCGCTTTGAAAAGTTGAGTTCAGCTTGTGGTGCATGTAAATAATCAAAGCTTATTAAAACTATTTGTCATAAATTAAAGCTTGAGGTTTTTTGATGTGTTGTTGGCAAGAGACACAAAGAGACTCTAGCTCCACCTAGTGTTCAAGAAATGGCGTCTATAGTTAGAAACAAATCTGAGCTGGTAGAGTTTTTATTTGATTTATAAAATGTAGGTCACTTTTGTAAAATGATTCACTTGTTTTTATCATATTTTAAGGTTTTCTATGTTTATATTTCGCTTCTAAGCAATGTGGTGTTCCTCTGTGAATCTGCGATGCTCCTGCAGGTGGTGATCGGAGACAAAGTCGTCCTCAACCCTGTGAATGCAGGACAGCCTCTCCATGCCAGCAGCCACCAGCTAGTTGACAACCCGGGGTGTAACGAGGTACGACTGTTATAATAATAAATAATAAATGTGTTGAAATGTTCATACAGCATTTCTCTGTGTTTTTTTTCCTCAGGTTAATTCTGTAAATTGCAACACAAGCTGGAAAGTTGTTCTATTCATGAAATGGAGTGACAACTTGGAAACTATACTCAAAGGGGTAGGTACTGACACAATTTACATTACTTGATGTTTTTTTTGTTTTGTTTACAACAGCAAAAATTGACATTTACTTGATCACGTCTTACTGGCTTTCTTGTTTTGTTTTAGGGTGATGTCGTGCGGTTATTCCACGCAGAGCAAGAAAAGTTTCTAACTTGTGACGACCACAGGAAGAAGCAGTACGTTTTTCTCCGAACCACCGGTCGCCAGTCGGCGACTTCGGCCACCAGCAGCAAAGCACTGTGGGAAGTGGAGGTTGGTGGAACGTATTCCCAAAATACAATCCGTCCCCCGATCAATTAAATGCTGATCCCTGATACGGAAACAATGCTGGCTTTACTTGCTGTTTCTTCTCTCATCACCAGGTGGTGCACCATGACCCATGCAGAGGAGGCGCAGGATATTGGAACAGTCTGTTCAGGTTTAAGCATTTGGCCACCGGCTGCTATTTGGCTGCAGAGGTGGGTGAGGTGTGTGTCGGTGGATTTACCCCCAACCCCACCCTATTTTTTTTTATCGGTATACTGATATAGACAAACATTCAATTTCTGAGCTGGGAGCAATAATTAAACATCAAGAGACTTCTAATTTATAGACAGTTTTTCATAGACAACAAGAGCAACACAAAGTATTTTAGGGAAGATGAAAGCAAAAAGTATAAAAAACAACATATGGAAATAATAATGTAAACAAGGAAATAATGTGGGAAATATCTGAACTGTTCTTTTAATGAGGAGGAGATGCTAAAGGTGGACATGTA